TTTTGGGCTCCCTTGAACTAATTTTTGACTTGGAAATTCTCTGAACTACGGTGCATGAGCCAGCACTGGAAATGTGCTCAGACGAGTACAGCAAAGCTACATTCCTCTTGCGACAGCCTGTGCAGTGTCCAGTTCATCTTTTTCCAGAACTGGTCTCTGATCACTCATGGTTCCTCCATTAATGGTTTTTCTTAGCGGGATTTTGTACTCAACCTCCAGAGATCAGCAGTTCAAAGCCTGGCTCGGCTATAAATAACAAAGACATTTGCGAAGCAAATCATCTTATTAAAAATGGGGATCTTTTTCTCTTCCACCAACCACAATAAAACCCTTTACCGTTGAAGAGCAACAGGACTTGGCTGTGAATGGGGAAGTTCAAAAAGGGCCACTTGCAGAGCCGACAGACAGACACCCTCCCTCTTCTCAGCAAGATCACCCCAAAGGAAAGGAATGGCTTCTCCATTAAAAGTTGCAGGTTTCCTCTCTCCCCACTCCTGTTCAAGATTGCCCTATTTGCTGGCTTTGCAGGATCTTTGGGGAATTATCTTCAGAGCTATATTTATTAGTCAAAGTAAAACTGTGTGGCAGAGAACTTCATCATTTTTCTCTTCAATTTTGTCACAGTATTTTCTTACCAGCTTGAAGCTTTTGCTCTGCCATGCTTCTTCTTCCAGTATTCAAAATATTTTTGTGCTCTTGCCTTCTCTTTTTGTTGGAAAGTTCAGGTATACTGCAATTCCTGACATCTTTCTCTGGACAGCTGAAGACTATGTTTGTTGCAGTGAGTCTGGATGAGTGCAATTGTGGGAACTGCAATAGGGGCAGGAGGGGGCCTCTATTTGTGGGAAAGATGTAATAAGAATCCTCTTCCACAGCTTCTTACTCCATAGCAGCCCCTGTGGGGCACCCAGGGGGAGAACAGGGTGTGTTAGTGTGGGAAGAAAAATGAATCCCAGGATCTGTGCATCTAGCAGCCTCAGGAAAGAGCCCCCTTTTCATTAACTGTGCCTAAGATGTGCAGTTCTTCCTGCACAGGGGAAAAGCCAGTACTGACAATGATATAGGAAGAAATATACATATATATATGTATATATATATAGTGACTTGATCTAAACAGCTTCTGTGCAACTGGGAGGAAATACAAAGCTGCTGGGGGACTGCTGCTCAGAATCACCAATGTAAATACCAACTTTCAAGTCTTGATCACGTGCTGCTGTTACAGGTACAGAAAGGTCATCAATAAGCCACCTAAAGATCCATCAGTCCCTTCCTATGCTCCTCTACTATAAAGGCCATAGAGAAAACTACAGATAAGCCATTCTCCAGATGCAGGAGAGGCCGTCAGCAAGACGAAAGGAGCAAAGGCATCTCTTCCCAGGTCACTCCAACCATGGTCACTCCAACCAGTGTGCAGTGGGAGCACGGATTCTGAGTCCACCAATGCCACAGCAAGAACAGGACAGCCATCCTGAGTCCACACACCACACATTCCTAATTAGCAGCCCTCACTGATGGATCTTCACTGGTAATGTAAAGCTGGGATTGACTGTGGAGACCAATGGCTGCCTTTCTGAACCCACACTTTGCCAGGCTCAGGAGTGCTTTACATGGTGTAAGGAGGCCACATCCTCCCCCTCCTGCTGGTGGTGAGAAGCCTGACCCTGGCTGGGTAGGAACTGGTTGGAGAAACAAGTCCCAGGGGACTTCCAGTAGTGGCAGCTATTCACAAAACAGATCAGTCGGAGCGCCCTTTGTCTGCCTATTTATGCCGACTGGATCTGTCCTTCAGCTAGTATAAATCTGCCCAGAGCTACTGCCTTTCTGTAGTCCTTGCCAGTGTACACCAGCTGATGACTTAATGCTAGCATCAATAATCTTTAGCACAAGAAAAGCCCTGAGAAATAAACAGAGCTGCAGAAAACCCCACACAACCAGTCCATCAACACCGATAATATTTCACACACGGCGGATGGCAAGGAGAGGCTGTTTACAAACTCACTGCAAGAGCAGGAGGGAAAAGAACGGCCCGGGAGCGTGCACAGCCCTTATTGCTGAATTCCTCCTGCTGCTGATAACAGGTACCGAGGATCTGCGGAGGATGTCAGATTAGAAATCAAGCTGTAAAAATACCCTGTGCTGGCGCTTGCATTTCTGTGCTGGTGTGATGTTGCTGACTAGTCCTCTCTGGCTTTAAATATGATGCTGTCAGTACTGTGAATATTTCTTAATCTGCACTGAAGAGTGGCTGCCAGGAAAGTAGAAGTGGCCGTCTATCAGCCTTGCTTGTGCAGAAAGAGTGATTGTTTGAAGGGGGGCTCTTTGACCTTTTCATTTTTCAAATGTGTGTCTGTTTGCCAAGAACGTGTCATTCTTTGTAAGCATTTTGTTGTTCAAAACAAATCTTCTACTGCGAACTTTTTTTCTCCTCCCTTAGTATGATGCCATTCTGCAGCCTCATATGAGCATGTGATGAAGATCCACCTGAAAACAACACGCAAGGGCATACGTCCTGCTCCTAAAGAACAGGAAACGGGCGATGTCTTAAGGAATTGTGCAAACAGGGCCAGAGTGTTCAACCTGCAGAAGGAACCCTATGCTATCAAGAAAGTCCACCCCAGCTTTTGCTCATAAACAGTCCTCCAAGAGTAAATAAGAGTAAATAAGTAGAGATGGCTGAGATGCACCACAGTGAGAAACCTGGAGCTCAGAAACAGGCTGAGCAAAACTAAGGCAGAAATACAGCCATGCAGAGTAATGGGTCTCGAGATAGCTAAGAATGAGAAAACGTTTTAAATTGGGAAATACATCCTTAAAATGCTTTCAAGTGCTTTGAGAGTGTCAGGTAATTATGAGAAATGGGGATGGTGAACAAACAGGCAGCTTATGTATTCTGTACATTACTGCGCACTGCACTCAAACATATCTTTCATGGCATTCCTGATGAGAAGCCAACACAAATGCCACTCTGATTAATCAGGAAAGTACCCAGCAACAACATGAAAAGTTTGCACAACACCAGCAAGCACACAACCTACTCTGAAAGATATCTGGGTAAAGAAAGGTGCTCCTTTCATCACTACAAAACCCCCTAAGGCTCAGTGCTTGCGCAGATAATGAAGCCAAACATGTTTACACACCAGTGATCATTACACGCGGTGATTAGAGGAGATGTTGGGTTAATTTTCATCTCAAGCACTCCTCTAGGTAACAGTGATGACCCGCTGCCCCACCTCACCTCCCCAGAGTGACAAGTCAGGTGCTCCTCCACAGGCTGCAAGTCTGCCTTGTTCCTGGCGAAAACAAAGGCTTTCCTAACATGTATGATTAAAAAGGTCAATGAACCCCATGTGCCTGCGCTGGTGTAACACAACCAGCTGAGCTAAAGCAAAAATTCCTTTTGCTGGAAGTAAATAGCACACTGTTATCTCCCCAGGGCCCAGCCAATAACAGGAGGCATGTTCCCATTCACTCCGCCAGTGTGTGATATGCTAGTGCTCTGCCTATAAATACAACAGCTTGGTTTCCTTGTTTTTTTCTTAACAAGGCTGTGACAACTTCATCTCTTCTGGGTACAACAAACATGCTTGAGCTGTGGGGACACAGCAGGGCTTTCTGCTGTGTGTGTTCACAGTGGTGTTTTCTCCACCGCGTGACCATATGCTGCCTACTGCACAGTGGCTGCATTCCTACCAGAGCACGAGGAGAAAATGAGGGCAGCAAATCACAGTGGGATGGGGACGGAGGGCTCGGGGACATGCACATTCAGCAGCACCTCAACTGGAGACAGCAGGCTTTGGTACAACAGCCCACAGAGCTCCAACCAGAACAAAGTGACGAAGGCATTGGTAGGGGTCCAGAAGAAAGTTCCTTTTCCAGTGTGAAATAATAAATGAGACCATGACAAAAAGGCAACACTGGGCTCAAGATTCTGCCTTGGTACCGTGCCAGCTAACCACGCTTCAGACTTTTAGAACTGACCTGGTCATTAATTTGTTACAGACTTGTGCAATGTGAACAAGGCCAAGTCTCTTGGATAAAGATTTTTTCTCTTGCAAAGCCAAGGGGAAATGCTTAGTGTTTACTATTCAGAGAGAAATCCGCTTGTCGTATCTGTGACATTGCATTCCTCTCTGCACTGCCCACCCAGAACACCTCCCAGATAACCAGACTGCAAGAACAACTTGGCTGCATCAAATCCAAAGTCCATCTGATTCACTGTTCTGCCTAGCAGGGGACAATGGTGGATGCTGAAGGGAGAATATACAAAGTAGCTCTTGTATATGATCATCCTTTTCTTGCTTTATTCTCAAAACAAACAAACAAACAAACAAAAACCAAAAAAAAAACACCAAGCAATGCCGGCTTTCTTAAATCAGAGGGTTGCATCTGGGCTGTTGCATCTGCATGGTGTACAGCTCTGTTTTCTAGGCATTTATCTAAGATCTTTTTGAACTCATTTGGATCTAATTCTCTCAGGGAGACAAAAGGTAAAGTTATGGTAACTGGAGCTATTTATGTTACAAAGGAGACATGTAAGAAAGGGGTTAAAGCTAATGAATGGCTTTGGGAATGGAAGGGACCTTTCTCAGAATAGAACAATAGGGTGCTTTTATGAAACCGGGAGGCAGAAAACACAAAACTATTAAAAAAGAAAGAACACTCTTTTGTATTATTCTACATTAGCCTTCAGAACTCATTGCCACAAGATAGAACCCTGTGCTGGCAGCAGAGAGCCTGCTTAGTCTTTTGGGTGGTGATAGTTTGCTAGAGGTGACTGCTGCACAGCTTACTGAACCACGCAGAGCACAACTTCAGCCAGTTTGCAGAGGGATGCCTGTAACTGAATTTCAGCTCCATCACTACTGAGAAAGAGGGCAATGGCTGCCATCTTCCTCGGTGAGCTGGCGGGCACCCATGAGTGCTGACCATCTTGTTACATTCATAAATGTCCTCGATGGACTCCACTTTCAAGGGGAGGTGACAGAGTCTGCTTCCCTTACCTGGGTTGCTGCTGGCTGACCGATGACCACCCAGCCTGGGCACTGCTGGTCGCTGTGATGGGAGACGGAGACGTTGGAAGCCCACTGATCCAGGAAGCCTTTGGGAGTGTAAACGCCGCAGTCTTTGATGCTGGTCATTTGCTCAAATTCCTCGCATACTCCATCGCCGTCGTGGAAATAACACCTGCTGGGTTCATCTGCCAGAAGAAACCAAAGAGGAAAAATCATAACACAGCTACACGTCTGTGGCTTAGTTGCTAGGATCTGATAACACTAGTGGTGCATCTGCTGGTCCCGAGCACTGGGAAGTAAGAGCATTGGCCAATAGAAGGTGATTTTTAGAAAGCTCATCAAGAACAGTTCATTTTGTTATTGGGCAAAACCCTCAGAATATTCCTTACAGTAAGAGATTTTCTGCTTATTTTTGTCTATCGCTATTTAAAAGGATGGGGACAGAAGAAAGTAAAGATCAAAAACACACAGGCAGAGAAATGTGGGTATTGGCATCCATTTCCATCCCTGACTTGGATGGAAAAAAGCCAACCGAGGTCTGGTCTACAATGTTTCCCTTTTTGTTCTTAAAAGATATCTGCAAAACAACAACATTCACAGCATCTGTGAATTTACAGATGTGAAAACAGCCAAGATCACAGCCACAGCCACCAAGGGCCACGCAGATCTGTCTGTCCAAAGAGCAGAGTATGCATAGAGTGAGGTGAGCTTGCCACATACACACCACAGCTTCAACCAACGTAACTCAGATCTGACCTGAAAGGATCAAAAGCAGCAGGAGACTTTATTATCCTTGTCCATTTATTCTGTGGCTTCTCTAATGAGGCTACCAACAAAGATGCCAAATTTTTGAGGTTGTTTCTCTAACACCGGCCCATTAAAAACTGAACCAAGATCCATCTACTCTTTTCAAACAGACTGCATAGCAATAATGACTTTCAGTCATTAGAGTACTCTGTGAAATGGAAACCTTTGACCCGCTGGTATCCTATTTTGTATTGTATTATCATTGCCAGTCCCCAGAGGTATCCAGTTCTGACAGCCTGTTGTATTTTTGTCTGGCAAATAAGCCTGCTGAAAAAATGGTAGGAAATTAGCCAGAGCTGCGAGCTGGACTGATGGAAACGATCCCCAAGGACAGCCCTGCTGGTAGCGTTGGACTCTCTCAAGCTAGGTGTCAGAAAATCCAACGGCTGCTCAATTTTGAGCTACTTCCAAACTACGGAATCCCCTGTTTATTTTTCATCATAGTTTACTCAATGAAATACCATCATGAGCCAAAAAAAAAAAAAAAAAATCATTTTATTGCGATTCAATTATTTAATGACTTTCTCTCCTTTTTCCCTCCCTTCCTCCCAATCCTCTGTGCAAAACTGCAGGTCCTTGAGAGAGTATGAGTTTGAAAGAATGGAGAAGCCCATCAGGGAACAAAGTCATTGTGGTTTCATTTCATGAAACCTCTGCAGACAACTTGCATACGTGGGTAAGCGTGGGTAAGCGTGTAGTTGCTGGGCCAGCACTCGGAGCTGGCAAAAGTGAGCCTGGAAGCTGGTCAGCAGTGTGAGCACAGCTCTGTGTCTGGGGTAATATTCAAGGGATGGCCAAACTTCTCGACCTAAGAAGTCACCTCTTAAAGTCTTCACATGGCCACTGAGCACGTAGCACACACCTTGAAGGGTTTGGAGGAGCAGTGCTGTGAGTGCTTTGCAGAAAGAGGATGACAATGTCTCCCCAGGGTGTGCCATTACACCAGTGGGAGGGGGCTGGGGTGGATGTACAGATGGGCCCTAATGCAACCCAGAAGCACTGCAATGGCCTGCGGCCCTTCCTCTCATGTTGCTCAAGGGCCCCAGTGCCAGCAGGGCCCCACTCCCCATCATCTGGTACCAACCCAGCTGGGAATGTGACGCTGAACTGCTCGTGGGCCCTGAGAGCCCCAGCTGTGTCACACCTTATTCTTCCATGGGGTGCATTAGTGCCACACCAGTGAGGTGGGGGAGAGACGTAGCGTGTGCCTGGTGAGCCCGAGGAAGGGGTAGAGCTCCACATAATGGAGACTTGCTTCCCTCACCGTATCTTTCTGCATCTCTTGCCCTATGGAGACGTATCAAGGCATAGGATGGATCTCTGCCATGCCCCAGAACAGCAGGACAAAGCAAAGCAGCTCACGTGCTGCAGAGCACTGTGTCCCAGTTTGAGCGAGAGCCTCAGCAGACACCTCTGAGAAAGGCTCAGCTCTGGAAAGGCTGTGGTCGGCAACCAAAAAGCCTCAAAAACAAATCCAAATACACGAAAATAGTTATTGTTTGGAGTTTCTTTGTCGTTTAATGAAAAGAAATAATTCTTTAAAAAGGAAAAAAAAAAAGACAGCCCTACTGTATTAAAAAGACCCAACCTTCAGCCTGTGGGTAGTCAGATGTACACTTGCAGTGACACACTGGCACCCAAATACATCCTCCTGCATGTCCACGTTGACATGGACACTGACAGATGCACACACCTTTTACACAGCCCCAGTGATGCAAAGACAGCCAGAAACTCACAGCTACTTCCCCTGCCTCCCTGAAGCTTGGACTTCTTTTCACGAGAGGCACTGAAGTAAGCACAACATTTATATAGCCAACACAGTCCTGCACTGGCTCCAAATGTTCCCTCCTAATGCGATGATAAACGTAATGGGCTTCTGATAAGATCATGTGTTTGGGATAAAAGAATACTCAAGACCTACTCCAATCAGATGACTTAATTCATGCTCACATGGATGGGAAGGCAGCCCTCGAATAGCTGTGATCCAGGCCAGTGTGTGATCCTAACAGAGGCTAATTTGTTCCTGATTATGCTTAAGACCCCAATAAATCTGTCTGCTCGGAGCCTGCAACACCCGAGGGAGGAACCGAATGGAGAGACTGCGATGTCTGAATTCAATGGAGCCTGCCTGAATGATTAACAAAGTCTCACTGAGCCACACTGTCACCAGCCCCTCTGCAGCGCACATCCCCTGCCTGCAGTGCCCACTCACATTGATGTGATGTGAAAATGATGAGGGAAAGCAGCTTCACAACCTCATTTTTCTTCCGAGGAAGATTCGCAAGTCCCCGCGCTGACACGTCATCCTGCAGCCACGCTTTGAAGGGAGCGCTGGTGAGATGAGAGGGCACGTTTCCTTCCTGCTGGTTTCCTACTTGGAAGTGGTGGCAAAAACAGGAACTTCTGCAAAACCCTTCCCAGGCACTGAGGAGGGGACGAGGTCCCACTGACCTTCAGCACCCAGCTCCGCATGGCTCAGACTGCTGACCCTCAGCTCTGCGATGCTCAGCAGCTTTGAGGTTGAGCTTTACCTTTTCAGAAGCAAATGACCACATTGTTTCTTCCCACGATTGCCCTCACAAAATAAAAACCAACCAAGGCTTTTTCTCTTTCCACAGTGCCTGAACATTGCTCGGTTAAATCCCCACAGTCCTACAGGCTCACAGCCCAGGAAGGCAGTGTCAGGATGTGTATTCCTAGTAGGCAGTAGCAAACATCTTTGTTTCCACAGAGGTGCAGAATGCCTTTTCCAATCTGTTCTTGGCTACTGTTCCATGACATTCATCCAGGGCCTTGATAATATAATCTAATTTTTGTCTCCACAGAGGTCTGTAGGCTGCAGAACCCTGATGAAGATCACAGGGATGTGTTGGCTGAACAGGACCTGTGCCATGGACTGCATTCATCAACACCACGGACCTCTCACTTTCGAGTGGAATCTGATTCAAATAATACATGGGGGAAGAGAACATGAAGTGAATCTGATTTGTCCTCAAGGAAAAATGACTTCAAAAAATTAAAAAGCAGTTGCCTGGAAATCCAGCTTAAACCTAGAACAGCAAAATATCTGCAGGCGTAGCACCTGGCAGCAGGAGACAGCAGCTCTGGGGGATGACAGCAGATGCTCAAGGATCCTGAGCTGAACTCGGGGAGCATGTGCTCATTCAGGCAGTCAGAGCTGCTTTTATCCGACAAAGCCCTCAGTGAGGGCACCAAAATGTCAGAGCCAAATCTAAGTCACAGAATCACAGAATGGTTTGAGTTGGAAGGGACCCTTAAAGGCCACCTGGTCCCACACCGTGCAATGCACAGGGAACAGCCACAGCTCCATCAGTGCTCAGAGCTCCAACAGCCTGACCTTGGCTTCTGCAGGGATGGGGCATCCAACACAAGTCCCTTCTTTTGGGATGGTGGGAAAACAAAATCTTTGATTTAGTGAAGATTTCTTTGACATCCACAAAGAGGCATTTGTTGGAGAAACAGATTGGCAAACCTGGTATGTTTCCTAGAACTTGCCTATTGCAATTGGACTTCAAGACCCGGAATAACTGTGGGGCTACTGTGTGTTGCACCACAAAATGATGAGAGCTCCATTTATCCATGCTTCTTAAGGTGCTCAAGCTTAGCACAACACGCAGTGTTTTATACAGCCCCCTCCCCCCTTTTGTTCAGAGACAAAAGGCTGCACCAGGTAGGGCACAGGGCAGTGCCTCCTCCCCACCACCACCACCTGTTCAAAGCGAGGGCAGAAAAACTCCAGCGACACGAACCGAGTCTGGCACGCATCAGGAAGCAGACATGCAGGATATACACTTATCTGTGATAGGCAGCCTTCCACCTCATTAAAAAAAAAAAGAGAGATAAAGAGATCCACTTCATAGCAGAGGGCACATCCTCTGATGAGGCTTTTAATGTCCAAGCTGCATGGCCAACATGCCAGGGACAGACACTTGGGGAGGCTTCCTGTTTTCAGCCAGGATGCACTGACTGCCTTCAGCTTAGTCTTCTTTTGTGTAATAACTACTATTATTTTTTTTAAGGCCAGACAGAATAATAATAAAAAAAAAGGATTTTTAAGCTCAGCTGTTTACTTGGGGATCCTTCCAACTATAACAAGCCTCGTGCCACATAACTATTCGTCCGAGTTAAAAAAAAAAGAGGAAAAAAAAAAAAAAGGGAAAAAATGGGGGACACAAAAATGCAGAAGCATTGTCTCAGAGTTACAGACTGTTGGAATGGAGCAAGCTGCACATTTTAACCTCTGGAAGGTCTGCTCTGACCTCACTGCAATTCAGCAGCTCCTGCAGGAGTGGGATCTGACCTGTGTCACTTAATGGCACCTCCAGCACCGCTTCTGGTGTCCAGAGATGAGGAGAAA